ACGATGACATTTTTTCCTCATTCCCAGTTCATCATAAATGCACCTCCGTTGGGCTTTGAAGCTCTGCTATAAAACGGCTGTTTTCTGTCCCAAGCTCCTTAAAACCATTCTGAACAAATGGTGGGCAGCTCTTCATTTTGGTTTAGGGAAAGCCCCAACCTACAGCTCCTGGTATGGCTCCTTCCGTTCAGAAGCTGGTCTCTGCCCTGTGTGGCCATTTCATCCGGGGTTGCCAAATTCCTATGCTCACTTCTGGTCAGCAATTAGCCTTTTATACAGTGTTATTTTGTAGGTCAATCCAACAATGGCCCATTAAGCCAAGGCACTTTCCTCAAATTATTTCTCCACCCCTTCTGAATGCTCATTGCTCCATTCATTTTAGCATTTCCCAGTGGACATCCTTTTGTTTGGCTCCATACTGGGGGGAGCAAACTCGCTTTGCACTCCCTACCCATAGTCCCACAAACCTTCTCTTTCTTCCCCATCCCTCACCTTTAAGTTGCAATGTAGGCAGGTGGGGATGAAGACATAAAGTATGTACGTGTTTGTGTGTGTATACATACACATAGTTTTATTAAAAGTTTCTAAAATTGAAGATTAAAAACTACTACAAACTATATAAAGGAAGAAAAGGGAAAGGACAAATCAAGGAAAAAGCAAAAAAGGGAAAAAAGGAAAGAAAAATAGAAAAGAAAGATACAAAGAAATACCTTCTGATCTATTTTACAGTAGTAAACTGTAATTATAAATGTACTCCTTACTCTGTATTTACAACATCACTATCTTCTTTTTAATCTACTTATAGTCTATCCTGTCTAATCATCAAAACTGTAAATCATAAGTTCATTTTTTCCCATTTTGTGCAAAAAATAATAATCCTATAATGGGTCAGTCAGCAATAAATGTACATGCTGTGTTTTCTCTAGTCAGCTAATTTTTTTTTAGCCATCCTGGAAAGTTTCATGATCTTTACCAACCATTTCTCCATTATGGGCTGAATATCTTCACCTTTGTGCATACAATAATCTTACTGCGATTAAATTTAGTCTTACAATGTTCATAACCATAAATTCTTGTCTACTTTAAATCTGTCTAATAATTGTAATAATTACTATAATTATTGTAACAATTAAAATAATAATAAGGGACACGGTGGCTCAGTGGCTAAGATGCTGAGCTTGTCGATCAGAAAGGTCGGCGGTTCAAACCCCTAGCACCACGTAACGACGTAAGCTCCCGTTACTTGTCCCAACTTTTGCCAACCTAGCAGTTTGAAAGCATGTAAAAATGCAAGTAGAAAAATAGGGACCACCTTTGGTGGAAATGTAACAGCGTTCCGTGCGCCTTTGCCATTTAGTCATGCTGGCCACATGACCACAGAGACGTCTTCGACCAGTGCTGGCTCTTTGGCTTTGTAACGGAGATGAGCACTGCCCCTAGAGCCAGAAACGACTAGCAGTGGTGGGATTCAACCGGTGTAACAACTGGTTCACTGAGCACATGCGGTGTGTTTGAAAACAGCTCTAAAACTTACCTTCAACTGCAGCCCCGGTGAGTAAAACAGCTGAGGCGCAGCAATCCACTCTGTCGTGCCTGTCAGCTGGGCTTCAAACAAAGGAAATATAGGACAGACTAGTCCAAGGGTGGGTGGGCAGGGCCAGCTGATTGCCGCAACTACTGGTTTGCCCAAACTGGTCCGTACCGACTGAATCCCACCCCTGAAGAGAATCATTGACAACGATATCTTTTTGCCACCAGTTATCCTCTTAATTTTATTTACCTAACTTTCACCCTTTCCCTCTCCCCTGCCAGTGATGCCCAGGCTCCTTCAGATGGTTGAACTTACTGCATTTGCAAAAGCTGTGAGGATGGGCTTGAACTCATGCTGAACATTGAGCTTGGCACACTGATATTTGATCAGAAAAGCCACCTGGTAGTAATTGTGTCGAGGCATGGTGGGGAAAAGGCTGCAAAAAGAAAAGAAGGTGTCAGGTGATGATCCCAGAACTTTTGCTAGGTCCAAAACATGCCAGCCCTGCTTAACATCAGCAATGTATGATCTATGACTGCCTGGAAGGCCTCCCCCTCCCACACACATTTCTGTGCCTTGGCCTCTTCTCCAGTTTATACTCACTCATGCTCAGTCTGGAAGTTCTGGTGCCCAATGAACCAGCCATTGAACCAGGAACGGTCAACATTGCATGTTGCTGAGAACTAAAGGAGAAAGAGAACAGCAGGTGAAGCCCTCCAGTTGGCCCCTTTCTTTCCAGCCACTGTTGCTTCCTATCATAGGGAGGCTCTGTAATGAGTAACACTTAATCCTAGAGCCCTTAAAAGCCAGGCTGTAGACTCCTACAGGCAGTCAGACGGACAGCCAAAGCTTGCATTTTGTTGCACAATTTTTGGCGATGACCTTTTTTTTTTTTTTTAGTCCAGGGGAAAAAGCTGCAGAAAGATTTTATTTCCTTGCTTGCTGTGTTCCTTTATTCTGGAGTCAAGGCAAGGTTTTTAAAAGGGACAGAGACTGGAGAGCAGAGTTTAGTTGTAATACCTAACTTGGGGTAATGGAGGGGGAGGGAAGTCTGTCCCTCCCAGTTTTTTGGGGGGGAAGAAATGTCGTTTTCTTTGCCGGAGGGAACAGAGGGAGGGGATTAAACAAGGGAAAGGTTTTTGGAATTTCATTTTAAAGCTGCCTTTTATGCAAGGGCTGGCTTCCCAAAGCCAGGCAAAAAGCAGGACAGCTTTGCAGTCTCCTTATGGGCAGTTGGTAGGGGGCTCAGAAAGCAGTGCTTTCCTTCCCCATTGTTTTTCCTTAGAAAAACAGTCAGCCGTGTGGTGGGCCTGCATGCGGAGTGGGGTAGGCCTTGAGAAGCCTGAAACAAATGGTCTTGTGCCTGCGCTAGGCCTCCCAGGATCTCCCCCACCCCTCAGCTCCCACTTAATAACTCCATCTTTAGAGAATATACTGGAGAAAGCAGTGATGACTGGCCATTGATTGAGGCAATTCATTTAATGTTGTCCTGACCTTCCACTGTAGAGGGCAAGCTCCATTACACTGGTAACGCAAGGACTGCTTATAAATGTAAATGAAATGAAATAAATTATAGGTTTTGTCCTGAGCCCTACATACATTTTTGTAAGATGAAACTTCCAGCACATCACTCAGATTCCAAGTATGGATGTCACTCAAAAGTGTTGTTGGCAACTTTCCTCTCTCTTTTCACCTAAAAGCCTTTTGTCCTTTTGCCATCTTTTGGCAAATGATGACAAACAGCTGAGGAGAAGATGTTCTCCTACTGACCCTGTGTCTATTTCTAGCCTGCCCTATGGTTAGTTATATGACAGTTTGTCTTTAAGAGATAAAAGACAGTTTTCTGATCAATGCTCTGTGTGAATTTCTTGTATTTTCCTCTCTTCAAGGGGTAATTCATATAGAAGTGAGGCTTTCTTTTTCCATAAATTGAAATTAAACAGCTGGTATTTTTGATAGTTGGGCTAAACTTGCACTGGGCATCCAAGATGATATTGAGAAGAATATTATTCTGCTATATAAATAGCAACCTGCATATTTGCATGCGTGCAAATAGTCTGCATATGTTGAGCACACCCTCTAACAAAGGGTGCCTGCTGAATTTGAATTCCCAGAAAAGTGGGGCCCTAGCAGTGAGCCCCACTGATTTCAAAGGAATTTGTTCTCAGGAAGATGAAATGTGTTACTAACATCTTAGCATTTAGTATTAATTTAGGCAATGGCTTCAGGCAAACTAATACTTTCTGTCATGTGAACTTAGTTATGCTGTCTATTCTTTTCTGTATGTATGTGAAAGCATCATGAAGACACCAATATACTATACTGCTGCTGAGTACTCTTATGCTTCTGCTTTAGCATCAGATCAGAAGCTGGTGACATAGTCAGTCAGGCTTTAATGTTTTCCCATTATGTTCTGCATCAGTTTCAGCATCTTCCTGCTGAAATGTTTCTGTGTACTTCATTTTCTTTCATTTTTTGGAGAATCTCTCCTATGTCTTAATAATTTCTTGCATGGATTATTTGCTTCAGTCCTTCCTTCCCCTTTCTTTTTTCCTTTGCAGCAATTTTTTCCCCCTAGCTGGTAAAGCAATGAGCAAATCCAGGCAAAGAATCAAGATTTTCTTGAGACTCTCTTTCCCAATGGTTTTGGTGACCAGAGGACCTAGTTGGCAGTCATGAAAATGCTGTATTTAGAGGTCTGGCACTCCAAAGCATTAATGGACTAAGTGAAAGATGGCACCTCTAAGCAGAAAAATAGAAAGGTTTTCACGTGAGCAGGGATATGGTTCATACAAGACATCCCAAGAAACCACATGGCTTCCATGCAGAAATAAGTAATTATGAGAAATAAAACAATAGTAATTAGAGAATACACTTTGAGAAAACTCAATTTTCGATGTTTTTAAATAGGCTGTCTGGGACAAACCTGGTTATTTTATTAAGAGTTTTCAATAAGAGGTGATTTTTAGCCTATTAGAAAAGCTTTCCTGACAAACCTCACTTGTCTCCAGACTTCCCTCTTTTCTGCTCTCTTTTCCTTTACAAACATCCCATTTGTTACCTTCCAATGGAAGACGGGTAAGAAAATGGGAGTAAGTAACTCAGTAACAATTGCCTGTAAACATCTCCTATTCAGGTAGGTATGTATTTAATTATACTTCAAACATTTAAGGTCTGCCAATGCATAGAGAACCACTATTCCCAGGGATGGTACTGTGGAAGTCCTGATGTCAGACTTTCATTCTCAAGCCAGAGCAGTGAATCCTCTTAATTCTTTACCACTATCAGCCTATGGTTGGCTTATTGCCTATGAATCATTCATCTGCTGGTGCCAAAAAGCAGGTTTTTTTTTAAAGAGAAGGAAGCTTTGGGAAAGTTCATTGTGCATCAAGATTTAGAAATTAAATCGTGGTTATTGATTATATGCCATCAAATTGTTTTTGAACACACAGATTTTCCTCCATGATCCCTAAAAAATATTTTCAGGTCTTCCAGTGATACTTTCATTGCCAATGAAATTAAGTCCATCCAACTTGGTGCTGGTCATCCTCTTCTTCTCTTTCCTTCCATCTTTCCCAGAACTACAGTCTTTTCCAGAGAGCTAGGTCCTTCTCATAATGTGTCCAAAATAGGATAATTTGAGCCTGTTCATTTGTGTCTCTAGTGAGAACTCAAGGTTGGTTGGTTTGATGATCCATTGGTTTCTGATTTAAGAGATACTTCATTCATTGTTTTGTCTTTCCCTCTACCTTGCTGCTGAAACTGTTTATAACATTTTAGGTTGACCTATTGAAAATCTTTAAACATGTAAAATTCTGTCACCATACTGTTTTAATTGTATTTACACTACTGCAAATTTTCTTGGATCCTTCAGCATTTTCTCTAACAGTTTAGAAAAAGTCCCATTAGCTGAGAGATCCAGCTGTGGCACACAATGTTCAATCAGTTGTTTTGAAAAGTCTGTTTCTAGGCTTCCAAAGTAATTTTTGGGCCTGTTGCAATGCAACCATTTCATTAGAATAAATACAAAATAGAGAGAACAACTGTAAGGCCCTAGAGTAAACATAATCCCTGAAATAAAAATTTCCCAAGACACAAACAAATTTGATCTGAGTTTAGGTATCTGAGCAACTGCAAGATGAGGTAGTTTACTAGTGATATGTCCCCTGTCACCCTCCCTTTCCAAGCTACCAGTAAGACATGTGTTTTGCCACTATAATGCTTAAGCAAGTTCTGCAACCCAACAAGACAAATACAGACTCCAGAGAGTAATTAGGACTGCAGAAAAGACAATTACTACCAATCTGCCTTCCATTGAGGACCTGCATATTGCACAAGTAAAAAAGAGGGCTGTGAAAATATTTACAGACCCCTCACATCCCGGACATAAACTGCTTCAACTCCTACCTTCAAAATGACGCTATAGAGCACTGCACACCAGAACAACTAGACACCAGAACAAGGACAGTTTTTCCCCGAACGCCATCACTCTGCTAAACAAATAATTCCCTCAACACTGTCCAACTATTTACAAAGTCTGCACTACTACTACTATTAATCTTTTCATCACTCTTTATCACCCATCCACTTGTGACTGTATCACTAACTTTGTTGCTTGTATCCTTACGATTTATATTAACTGTTTCCTAGTAAGATTTGATTGCTTATTGTACCCTATGACTATTATTAAGTGTTGTACTTGATGATTCTTGACTCTTGACAAATGTATCTTTTCTTTTATGTACACTGAGAGCATTTGCACCTTGTGTGTCCAATCACACTTGGCGAATAAAGAATTCTATTCAAATGAAAACTGTTTTGAATTGTATTAGTTTATCTGTATAGCGAGTAGAAATTCTCAACCTGTAGTATTCCAGGGATGGAGAGAAGGCAGACAGAGATAAATTAACAGTGACTCTTTGAATCCCACCCCAGTCTGTTCTCCAATAATAAAGAAATACTGGCACAGCTGATTCCTGTCCTATCACTACTAGCTGGGGAGGGCAATTTTTCAAAATACAATGACTCACACCGGCCGGCAGCCTGCCCCTCCTTCGTACCCGAAAAGCCGAACTTCTTCGGCTCGGCCGAGTTACTTTTTCGGAGTTTCTCAGTCTGCGTTTGTCCCACGAGATTAGCGGCAGTGAAACTGTCGGCCAATCGAAGGCGGAGAAGGGAAGAACCTCCCTCGCAGGGACTCGCCCAGTCCGCCCTCCAGATGGTGCTGAAAAGGACAGTGCCAAGTTCCTGAAGCCTCAGTCGAGGGGAGAAGATGGCTTCCCAGCAAAGCGAAACTGGGATCAGGCGGAGAAGGGAGGCTGATCCCGAGGCCGATCTGCCCTGCCCTTCGCGGTGGTTTACCTGGGAAGAGATCGGGCTGCGCACTGGCCAGGGAGACCCGCCAGGGGACCGCTGGCTGGTGATTGACAGGAAAGTCTATGACATCAGCCGTTTCTACAGGAGGCACCCAGGGGGCTCTCGGACCATCGGCTGCTACGCAGGGCAGGACGCCACGGTAAGGCGGGCGGCAGATGACGAGGCGAAGACTCGGGGCTGGCCACCATTTCTTTCGCTTCCATAGAGTGTCACAGGGAATACCATAGATTACACAATTCTGATATTTGTAGCTGTGGGCATGGCATGGAAATATCTTTTCCAAGGCTTCTGTGGTAACTCTTCTAAGTGCTAATTCAGAGGTCTCCAAACTTGGCAACTTTAAGACTTGTGAACTTCAACTCCCAAAATTCTCCAGCCAGCAAAGCTGTATACTTAAAAACAAGATGCTTGCATATTTGTATTCCTTGTTTGATTTCATGTACAAACTGTCCTACAAAGTGTGCATGTGAAAAATGCGGTAAAGCTAATCAACTTGTGCAGGGAAGGTTGGGAGTTCAAGACTACGTAGGGGCAGATGTTTCTCTCTCCCTTGGGCGGAAAAAAAACTGCTGCTGCGAGCAAAGCTGGCTGGAGAATTCTGGGAGTTGAAATCCACAAGTCAAAGTTGCCAAGTTTGAGGATCCCTGTGCAGCTAGTCTGATTTATTGACTGCTTGTTCCTTTATTGTTCAGGGTTGATTCTAAAAGACAGACACTATTTGTCATTTTCAGTATCTTCCCTGACAAAGTCATTGTACATTACTCTAATTAGTTTGGTCTTCTTTATATTTAATTTTAATCCCAGTTTCCACTGTGCTCCTTGACTTTCATTATTAAAACTTGCAGATTTTCTATATATTCAACTTCAGGGTAGGGCTATCAGCATAATATAGGCCAGGGGTCGCTAACCTTTTGGACCTTAGGGATCACCAAACTCATACTTTTAAATCCTAATATGAATTTTGACTGACGGTGGCTTGCTGATGTTGGGGGGATGGGGGGGAGATCTGATTTAACCCCTCTCTCTCCCTGCTTCCCTCCCTCCCTCTCTCTCTCTCTCTCACACACACACACAGAAGCAGGGGTGGGATTCAAATTTCTTAACAACTGATTCTGTGGGCATGGTCTAATTTATGGGTGTGGCTTGGTGGTCATGTGACTGGCTGGGCATGGCTTGTATGTAAATATTATAAATATTTATGTAAATATTGAATTTTTTAAATAAAAAAATAGTAGCTGGAGTAGTGGCAACTTTTGGCAACTTTTACCCCAAATCAGGCAAAGCAGGCAGGCAGATTGAGTTGCTCACAGAATCATTCAGAGATCTATCTATCTGCCATCAGCTACCTGAGTCTGTCACATAAAATTTGCTTGCAGTGAGTCTGCACTGAATAATAGAAGCTTCAGTCGTAAGGAAGGTTTGGCTCTGCAGATACTCTAAATACTAGCTATAAAGCAAGAAATGCAACGATTTCCTGCTTTCTAGCTAATCTAAATCTTCCAGCACAGCAGAACAGCTGATGGTTGGGGGAAAAAAAAGAAAAATAGCAACTTAGCAGGCAAATTTGCCGGGTAAGGAGTGAGTTGGCGGGGAGGGTTCCCGCAGGCTATGTGGGTGGCACAGCCTGGATTAATTGCTTGGGTGGGCTCTGGGGATGACATTTCTCTGTGGACCACCAACATTTTCTTGCAGCCCACCGGTTGGCGACTGCTGATATAGACTACTGATGTTTCTTCTTCCAGTGTTAAAACCATGCCCATCTTCTTCTAGTCTAGTTCCCCTTAATATATATTCAGCATATAGATCGAATATAAGGGTAAAGTACACAGCCTTGTACCCCTTTGCTAACCTGGAGTCAGTCTGTTTTATCATGTTCTTCTGCCTGTACTGTGGTTTCCTGACTTGTATGTAAGTTTCTCATGAAGACAATGAGATTCTGGGGTTCTCATTTTTCTGAGCCCTTCTCAAAACTCTTTTTATAATATATGAAGCACATATTGACTTCTTTTTGCTAGTCTTTGGCTTTCTCGCTTATTTATAAAGCATTCCATTTATTCTGCTCATTGTTCAGTTTGTGGAGCTGCACTTTCAGAAAGGCCCAAAAGAGTTGGAACAGGAGCCACCAAAGAGTGATATGGTTGCCAAAGGGATTATTAAATGGAATTGTTTAGCCTGGAGAAGAAAAGTCTTAAGTGGGACTGAGTAAACAGGCTTCAGTTATAGGAAGGCTGATTCCGGCTCAGTGTTGAGGATGCAAGTGCTGTGTGAGTATGGAACCACTGATTGAGGGAAACATATGGGCTTCCTTTTTGGATGTCTACAGGCAGCCTTCCATTAGGGAGGATTCACACATAAAAGAGAGGTTTAACACGATGGCCTACAATGGTCCCTTTTAAAATCCATTATGTTATGAATCTATGGTTTTCCCAACTCTGAAGGACTGAGCCAAATCTTGCAAATCCCACTGTTAATTGTTAAATAGAAGCGAGAGAAATAAAACAGGAATCCTACCTACAAAATGATGCAGTGAAATCAGCACACAGATTCTCTCTTGCTCTTTTACATTCACACGGACATTTTATTCCTGATATACACTATGCTTTTAGAAAAAAACAATTTAAACCTATGATCTATAGGTTAGCTTTTCTTAGAATTGTTGGTAAAACATCGCAATTTTCTTGTTCTTACAGTTTCACCAAAAACAAAAGTGAAGATCAGAACCAGAAAATCCTTCCAAATATTTTAAGTGTAATTATTAAATCGTAACCAGTTATTATGGCAATTAAATAATCAATTTGTAACTTTTTAAGTAATCATACAGAACTTTAACAAGGAGCCAGTAGTTCAGTCAATGCCATACTATCCTGTCTGTCTTCCCTTTTGCAAAGAGAGAAACTGGATCTATATTGCGTGATTATTTGAAGATACACATACATCTACACCTTTTCAGTCAGTTGGGAAAATCAGTATCTGGCCTCTGTTAATACAGACTGCAAGTAGGAGCTCACAAAGAAAACACATCTCTCTCACACACAAAACAACCTGGATGTAGAAAATAAGAAGATAAGATATGTATTATGTTAAGATATGATAAGATATGTTATGTATTCACAGTTTGGTGTAGTGATTAAGGCATCAGGCTAGACATTAGGAGATTGTGAATTCAAGCGCTACCATGTGCATGAATCTGGCTATTCACTTTCTCTCAGCCCTAGGAAGGAAGCAGTAGCAAGTCACTTCTGAAAAATCTTGCCAAGAAAAATTCAGGGACTTGTTCAACAGTCCCTGAGAATTGGACATGATTGAACAGAAGAAAAACAACAACAATTTTATCATCATTTAAAAAACAAGACTGCACCCAGTTGCTATAACCCACTTTCAGAGCAGATTAGCCAATCTTTTTCTGTTACCTTTTACTTACTTTTTAATTTAAAAAAATATATAAAGATTTTCAGTACAATAGTAAAATCAAATACAAATTAAACTCAGAAAAATAAAAAAGAGGAAGAAATAAAAATGGAAGTGTCCAAAGGTTGAATGATGGCAACTGGACCAAAGGTTGGTAATCTGAGATATTTCATTGCTCATCCAAGCAGTGTTATCAGTCAGAGTAAAAATTAGCTAGGCAGAGAGTCAGACGGTCATTGGAATGTGCCAACTCTTGCCACACCAAATTCAGGTGTTTCTCCCGCAAATGAGTTGCAATATATATGTCAATCAAAACCGAATCATGCAGGCCAAAGCTGACTAAAGGTTGAATTATGGCAACTGGACCAAACTTTGTTAATCCGAGATGTTACTCTGAGAGTCAGAGAGTCAAGATTCAATTGAAATTGGTGTGGCAAGAGTTGGTATATTCCAATGATTCTCTGCCTAATTTTACTCTGACTGATGAAGTTGCTTGGATGAGCAACTGTTGAGGTAATATCTGGCGAATAGACCTCCATCCAATCAACACCTTTCCTAATAATACTACAGTACCCAATGTAGATTTACGTGTATTTACGTCTGTAGCAAAACTTGCATCAGCATATGCAGTTAAACTCAGTTCATCCTTAGGCTCCAAATATAATGCATAATGCATTGTTTGTTTCAGATATCTTAACACAAGCTTAGCAGTTTTCAGTTAGCTCAGCTAATTGGTTAAAACTATATGCTATATCAGGGGACTTCTGGTCTGAAGGGCTTCGGCGACAGACAAAAATCCACGGTCGTGCGTGGTTTCTGTCTGGGCTCGCTGCTGGAGCACCCCGAGCTGGCTGGTTTCGGGGCTAAGCCACCCCCTAGAGGTGGTGAAGAGGGGGGAGACCGCCAGCAGGTCGAGGAGAGCCGTATCTCTCCTCCTCAGCTGGCCATTACTCCCTTTCCCAAAGGCGGTTGCAGCGGTGGTCAGAAATGGCCACCACAAAGAAGAACTCGACTGGAAAAGAACGTGCAGGAGGAAGATAAGAAGTGAAAGTTTTGGCTGACCGGGTTAAATTGTAAAAGCAACAACCAAGGTACCCTGGAATTTAAACTTACAAAAAATATCATCGCTCCCAAAGAAGAGTCAGAAGCAGCGAAGGAAAGTGAAAAGGGAAAGGTTTAGCTTTTTTCTTCTTCTCTCTCCTTCCCTATACTGACAATTAAGAGACTTAAATAAGAAATCAGAAAAATCCGCTTTGACATCAATAGGCAATTAAGCTGAAAATAAAACAAAATGCCAAAGGGATAATAAAGATTTCTGGACATTAAAAACTTTCTTTTTCATAAG